CTGGCTAATTTTTAAATTTTTAGTGGAGACAGGGTCTTGCTATGTTGCCTAGGCTGATCTCAAATTCCTGGGTTCAAACAGTCCACCAGCCTTGGCCTCCCAAAGTGCTGGGATTACAGGTATGAGTCCAACCTGCTTCTCATTCTTGCTACCAAAACAGTTTGGAGGCCGGGCGCAGTGGCTCACACCTGTAATCCCAGCACTTTGGGAGGCCAAGGCGGGCGGATTACTTAAGGTCAGGAGTTCAAGACCAGCCTGGTCAACATGGTGAAACCCCGTCTCTACTAAAAATACAAAAATTAGCGGGTCGTGGTGACAGGCACCTGTAATCTCAGCTACTCAGGAGGCTGAGGTGGGAGAATCGCTTGAACCTGGGAGGCAGAGGTTACAGTGAGCCGAGATCACGCCACTGCACTCCAGCCTGGGTGACAGAGTGAGACTCCATCTCAAAAACAAAAAAAAGAAAGAAAAAAGAAAAAACCAGTTTGGAGCTCACAGTGCTCTAAAAGGGTCTGAGGACCCCCGGAGACCCACGGACTCCGCCTAGAGAGGGAGCTGCTGCCCCGGGTGTCTGCCCTGCTTGCCGCTCAGCGTCCCGTCCAAGTGGCCTTTGGTGAATGCAAGTCTTTAAAAAAAATTTTCCATTAAAATTTTTTTTTTTGCCAGGCATGGTGGCTCACACCTGTAATCACAGCGCTTTGGGAGGCGGAGGCAGGTGGATCACCTGACATCAGGAGTTCAAGACCAGCCTGACCAACATAGTGAAACCCCCGTCTCTATTAGAAACACAAAATTAGCTGGGGGTGGTGGCACATGCCTGTAATCCCAGCTGCTCAGGAGGCTGAGGCTGGAGAATTGCTTGAACCTGCGAGGCAGAGGTTACGGTGAGTCAAGATGGTGCCATCGGACTGCAGCTTGGGCAAAAGAGTGAAACTCTTTCCAAAAAAAAAAAAAAAAATTGGCTGCGTGCAGTGGCTCACACCTGTAATCCCATCACTTTGGGAGGCCAAGGCAGGTGGATCACTTGAGGTCAGGAGTTTGAGACCAGCCTGATTAACATGGTGAGACCTTGTGTCTACTAAAAATACAAAAATGAGGCAGTTATCGTGGTGGGCGCCTGTAATTCCAGCCCAAGAATGCCTCGGTCCTGGGAGGCAGAGGTTGCAGTGAGCTGAGGTCACACCATTGCCTTTTTGCCTAGGTGACAGAGCGAAACTCTGTCTCAACAACAATGAAAAAGTCACAGTGGTGCGATCCTGGTTCACTGCAGCCTCGACCTCCAAGGCTTGAGGGATCCTCCCCCCTCAGCCTCCCAAGTAGGGGGGATCACAGGCACTCTCCACCAGGCTTGGCTAATTTTTTTCTTTGTTTGTTTGAGATGGAGTCTCACTCTGTCACCCAGGCTGGAGTGCAGTGGCGTGGTCTCGGCTCACTGCAACCTCTGCCTCCCAGGTCCAAGCACTTCTTCTGCCTCAGCCTCCTGAGTAGCTGGGATTACAGGTGAGGGCCACCCAGCCTGGCTAATTTTTGTATTTTTAGTAGAGACAGGTTTCACTACGTTGGTCAGGTTGGTCTTGAACTCCTGACCTTGTGATCCTCCTGCCTCAGCCTCCCAAAGTGCTGGGGTTACAGGTGTGAGCCACTGTGCCGGGCCTGGCTAATTTAATAATTTTTTTTGTAGAGACAGGATCTCACCATTTGCCCAGGCTGCTCTTATACCCTGGGCTCAAGTGATCCTCTCCCTTGGCTTCCCAAAGTGCTGGGATTATAGGTGTGAGCTACTGTGCCTGGCTGCAAGTCTTTAATTTTGCCAAAATCAAACTCATCAACTCCTTTATTTTTTATTTTTTATTTTTTTGAGATGGAATTTCGCTCTTTTGCCCAGGCTGGAGTGAAGAGGCATAAACTTGGCTCACTGCAACCTCTGCCCCCTGGGTTCAAGCCAGTCTCCTGCCTCAGCCTCCGGAGCATCTGGGATCATAGGCGCCCACCACCACACCCCGCTAATTTTTGTATTTTTAGTAGAGATGGGATTTCACCATGTCGGCCAGGCTGGTCTCCAACTCCTGACCTTTGGTGATCCACCTGCCTCAGCCTCCCAAAGTGCTGGGATTACAGGTGTGAGCCACCGCGCCCGGCATCCACTCCTTTTTGAAGTTTTGTGCAGAAAGTTCTTCTTGCCCTTCCTCACGTCTTCACATGTCCTGTGACTCTGGCGGTTTTGCTTCTCTCCTGACGTCCAGTGCTGCTGGGTCTCGTTCAGCTTGGTGGGGTTGGCAGGGACCCTTCTGTGTTCTCCACACACAGGGCCATTTTCTCAGGACCACCCTCACCCCTCCCCAGGTAACAGGTGCACCTGGCTGGACCTGCGGTACCCTCACAGGTGTGAGGGGCATCTTACCACGCGTGCTGCTGTGCCAACCTCTCGGCAAATCAACCATTTTGGGACATCTTTTTAAAAAAGAAACAGCCCTTCCTAAGTGGCATGGGAAGCCCTTCTTGGGTCCTGCTGGGCCTGACTGGGCGTGGGCGGACAGGGCCAGCTGGGGGGGAGGAGGGAAGGGGAATGACAGGCACAAAGAGATGCTTGTCCCCAGACAGACAGGCCTTGTTGCGGGGGATATTTGCTTGTGGCCACTGGCAGTGCCCCTGGCAGCTCAGGCCACCCACCCCGAGGTCTGGGGTTTCAAGCCCCGCCCTCCCTCCTTGCCCAGGGTGCACTCTCCCACATCCAGGGTCAGACCCTTGGCAACCTGGGCCCGTGGGGCCAGCCCCAGCAGATCACCCGCTTTCTGTGGACCTGCCTGGCGGGGAGGTGGGCGGGGAGGCCGGGGCGGGGTGAGTGGTTAGGACACGTTGGAACTATGAGAGATGGCATTTTACCCCAGCCCCTGCCCCAAACTCGCACCTCGAGCAGGTGACCTGGCCCTCTATGCCTCATGCTTATCCATGCCAGCCTCACGAGGCTGCTGGGGCAGCGGCTGGCCCCAAACAGTGATGCCCTCAGGGAGGAAGGGGAGCAATCCTCACCCCTGGGTGGCGGCCAGAGCGGACACAGAGAGCCAGCCCACCTGACACCGCGTGACCTGTGCCCATCGCCAGGCTGGTGGGGCGGTGGTCCCAACTGCTCTCGAGGGGTCTCAGGAGGTGGCATGAAGCCCTTTGGAAGAAATGGGGAGAATTTCTGCAAGCCCAGAGGTCTGAGCAGACAGCTGGGGCCAGGGTGCCTGGGACTTGGGGCTCCTGGGGCGGGAGCCTGCTTGGGGCCTGGCGCTGGGATCTGGGAGCTGGAGTCTGGGGGTCCGGCTTCCTGGGGCCTCCTCAGCCGTCCAGGAGGCAGAGGGAGGGCTCTAAGTGGGCTAGGGGAGGTGGGTGGGGAGGGGGCTGAGGAGGCAAGTGTAGGTCTGGCGCCCTCGGGAGTTGAGCAGCCTGGAGCGGGCATATGAAGCCCAGACCATGCTGGCAAAGACAGGCTCTGTTGCTGGGGTGGTCAGGAGTGGGCGGCCCCTCCCCCCTTCCAAGGCCCGGCATCCTGGAGCCCACAGAGGCCGCTTTTGGAAGAGATGTATCCCTGGGTGCCGGTCCCCATCCCAAGGTGCGGGCTTGGCAGGCAGGGCACCCGTCCCACTGCTGGGGGTCCCTGGCTCCCAGCTGGCCGGATTTGTGGGCAGCAGGGAGGGGCCGGCGCCCCATCCCTCCCCTTTTCCTCTTGGGACTGTCTCCCTGTCTGCAGGGTCCATCTGACGGGGTGGGGGTCCTCTTCTGGGGGGCCTGGGAGAGGGATGGTGGCCATCAAGCCCAGGTCATGGTTCAGAGAACACCAGACACTCTCAGCCAACCCGACCCTGGCCAGACACTGTGGTTACAACTTGGCCCAGTGCAGCCTGAACTGAGTCAGCGATTCTGTGGCCTGGTGTCCAGGCCCCGATGGGTGGTGAACAGGGCAAGAGACACGCCCCCCCCCAACCCAGCCCCACCGTCGCCCAGGCCAACACCCCAGGGTTGGGTCCACGGTTGCCCCCTGCCACCGATCCGTGGCGAGGGCACCGCTGGGCACCACCCACAGCCGCACACAGAGCGGCCAGCAGAGGGCACCAAAGGCCCCTCCGAGGGTGCGGCTCCGGTGGACACTGGATGGGCGGTCAGGTGCCCGTCCCAGGCAGGGCGCTGAGTGTGGTCCGGTCCTTCTTCTCGGGAGCCGTCAGCCTGGGGCTAAGATCTCCAAATCCAGTTTCAGCCTCGCCCTCTGACTCACGCCCCTCCCTCGGCCTGCTCACGGTCTGGCGGAGCTGGCTCCAACCCCACCACTCCCACTAGGGTTGTGCCCAGCAAAAGCCGGGCTTGGGTGACAGGTTTTGGGTCTTCTGGATGCCGGAACTGGGAAGGCCACGGGAAGAGGAGCTGGCAGGGTCCCCTCTGGGCTCTGGGGTTGAACAGCCCGGCTGATGGCCGGCCCCTGCCTGGCAGTGCTTAGGAAAGGTGCCGTCTCCAGGGGCTCCAGGACCCACTCCCGCTCCCAGGGAATGAGACACACGGCTCCTGGAGACTTTACTGGTTTAATCGCTTAGCGCTGTTGCCTCAGCCACCTCCTAGCTCTAGGGTGAGACTCAAGTCCAGGCACCAGGACCCACCAGCACCCCAACACCATGCAGGGATCCTTGGCCTGAAACCTGGCCAGAGGAAGCTCCAGTCCTGGGCCTGTGAGGGTGAGCGCTGAGGGCGTCTGAGGCCGGCTGTGTCCCCTGCATTCTCACCCATGCAGGTGAAGCATGTAGCATTCCCCCTCCAAGGCAGGCATGGCCTGCTGGAGCCCCTCCCGGGCCCCCCTCAAGGAGCAGAACCCTGCGTGTGTGCGGGGCTCAGCCCTGCCAGCCCTAGCTCCAGCCCACCCTGGGGTGTGGTGGATGTGGAAGGGGGTGGAGATGGGGGAGCATCAGAGGGGTCTCGACCCCACAGGTGTACTGGGGAGGCCAGGGACAGAGGCCCCACCCCAGGGAGTTCTGTGTTCTTGGGAAGGTGGACAAGGGGCTGGCACCACTGGGCGACAGGTTTGGCTGAGATTGGCCTTGGTGCGGGCTGGGCCTTGGGCACTGCTGGGCCCAAGGACGGGCCTTGTGCCTTCTGACAGGGGCAGGGACCCAGGCCAGCACCACACCCCCTCCGTGTCCTTGGTACAAAATACATACACATATAAAAACAGTACTCCATGCACTGCGGGTGGGCTTCCCCTCTGACAGGCCCCGCCCGCCGCAGCAGGGTCTAGCTGTCCTCCCCCCTCCTCTGATTCATGGAATGAAACTTGTTCATGAGTTCTTCCAGCTCAGACCCGCTTTGCTGCTTCTAGGAAGGAGAAACGGGGCAGCCTCAGCCCAGGGCCCCACAGGTCCGGGGGCAGGAGGGGAGGGGGCGGCGCAGCGCAGGGGGGCTCACCTCCTCCAGGAAGGCCTTCTGCACCATGAGCTGGCTGTACACGCGAGCGCCCTCCTCCCCGCACACCTTCTTGAGCTCCTCTTTGTTGAGGGAGAAGAGCTGCGGCCCGGTCAGGATGCCCAGGTTCTCCACGATCCTAGGGCGGGCGGGCAGGTGGGCATCAGGGCCGCACCGTGGGCGTCGGGGCCGCACCGTGGGCATCGGGGCCGCACCGTGGCCGTGGCTGCCTGGATCCCCCCCAGCCGGTCCCCGACAGCTGCGCACCTGCGCACACCTGCGGCCGCGCCCCCCGCCCGCGCCCCCCACGCCCCCGCTCACCGCGCACTGAAGGCCTTGGCTTCCAGCCAGGCGCGGACCTCGTCGGGGCCCGACTCGTAGGTGAGCGGCTGGGTCACCGGCTGGCTGCGCTCCACGCGGAAGTGCCGCGGCGGCTGCGTCCTAATGTGGCTGATTTTCCGGATGAGTTCGTCGTTGACCTCGTCCATGTGCTGCATCAGCTCTGAGGGAGCGCGCGACTCAGGACCCCACCGTTGCCCCCGACCCTGGCCCGGCCCCGGCCCCGGCCCCAGACCCCGGCCCCCGCCCCGACCCCCGACCCCGACCCCGGCCCCCGTCTCCCGACCCCGACCCCGCCCCGACCCCGACCCCGACCCCGGCCCCCGCCCCCCTCAGGTGGCCCTGGGCCCCGGACCGCCGCCTCCAAGCAGCAGCTCTCACCGTCTTTGTTCCCCGGGAAGCTTGGGGGCAGCTTGCGGGTCGGGCTGGCGGGGCCCCAGTACTGCTGGCTGGTCTGCGGGGCGGGGGGGATCAGGCTCCGCGCCCCCCCCACCTCCTGGCACCTGCCCGGGACCCCGCGCGGCCCGCGCGCCGGCCCTTCCCCCCTCCGCGAGCCCCGGGGACCCGGCACCCGCTCCGGTGTGGACTTGGCCGGCGCCGCTCCCCAGGCTCGGGGCTGCCAACCCCGGGACCCCGCGGGCCCACCTGCTCGAACGGGGCGTCCTCCGGCCTCGCCTCGCCCAGGATGTTGCAGGGCACGTACCCCGCCTGGCCGCTGCGGCTGCGCAGCTTCCACCACTGCCTCCCGTCCTCCAGCACCTGCGGGGCGCGCGTCAGCTCGACACCCACCGAGGCCGGACAGCGCCCCGGGCCTCCGGACCCCGGCTTTCCACCCCTCCCCGCCGCCCTCCCTCGCGGGGCCGCCCCTCCTCCACCCTGCCTCGGGGGTCTGGGAGCCCGTTTTTGAGACGGGTGCCACTGTGCCGCCCAGGCTGCACTGCAGTGGCCGGTCACTGCCCACGGCAGCCTCGGTCTCCTGGGCTCAAGCGATCCCCCCGCCTCAGCCTCCCGAGTGGCTGGGACCACAGGCGCACACCCCCACACCCAGCTACTTTTTATGTTTTTTGTAGAGATGGGGTTTTGAGGTGTTGCCCAGGCTGGTCCCGAACTCCTGGGCTAAAGGGATCCTCGGGCTCGGCCTCCCACAGCGCTGCGGTTACAGGCGTGAGCTGCCTCACCAGGCTGTGGATGTGGCCCACTCCGCCCAGCCTGCTCCACTTTCTGTCCCCGAGTGGGTGGCCTGGATTCCAGCTGGCAGAGACAGCCAGTTCGCAGGGGCTCTGGGGTGCGTGTGAACGACAGGCCCCTGCTGGGTCCACGTGGTACAGACGCTCCCCTCAGCCGGACACAGGGGTCCCTGCAGGCTTTTGGGGAGCCCCAAGATGGGAAGGCCCCTCCAGCAGGCTTTGGATCCTGATCAGAGCCCAGGGGTGGCGACCCTGGAGAAAGGGGCTGGCAGCTGTGCCCCGTCCTGGTGTCACCCAGCCTGGCCCTAGATGGCCCCCCACCCCCCGGTAGCCCCTCTCTTGAGGCCCTGCCCCGTTTCCCCCTCTCAGACCGCCTTGTCCAGCCCCCTCACCTCTAGGACCTCATCCTTGAGCACCGACAGCTCATTGGCGTTTCGTGCTGTGAAGTCGTACAGGATCTTGACGTACTTGGCCATGGCTGGTGTTGGCTGGCAGCCCCTGTGAGGAAGAGGAGGGGCTGAGGGGGTCTCCTCTGAGACCTGGGCAGGGGCCGGGGGCAGCAGCTTCCCAAGTGCACGGCTGGCTGCCTCTTCTGCTATGGAGGGCACTGTGGAGACAGGCTGCAACGTCAGCCCAGAATGGAAACTGTGACAGCCCCAGAGCTTTGGGGCCCTGTGCGGAGGAGGGGCAGGTAGGAGGTGGGCGTGGCGCAGGGGCCTGTGGCACAGCAAGGCTGGCCCATCCCAGGCCACCTGGCGGTCTCCAGGCTGGCACCCCAGGGGAACCAGAGCCAGGGGTGTTCCTGGGAAATGCCAGGGTCACAGCTTCCCCAGCTGGCCAGTGAGCGCCAGGATGTCTTCAGAGCCATGGCAGCCCGCAGAAAACAGCCCGCATAGTCCAGCAGAGGACTGGTCTCAAGCTCCTCTCTGGGGGATGGGACCTGCACCTCAAAGGTCCATGGGGGCTGGTTCTGGCTGGGGGGTCCTGGCTTTGGCACAGAGCAGGCCTGTGGCTGTCACCGGGCCAGGCCATCCATCCTGGTCAGTGTGGCCCTGGTCATCAGGGCAGCTCCCATGTCCAGGTGCTCAGGGAAGTGAAGGGGCTGCGGACTATCAGGACAGGGGCAGGGGGACAGACCAGGAGCAGGAGTCGAAGGGTGGAAGTGTTCCTTCCGTCCTGCCTTCCTCCTTCCTTCCTCCCTCCTTCCTTCTTCCTTCCTTTTTACTTCCTTCTTCTTTCCTTCCTTCCTTCCTCCTTCCTTTTTCTTTCCTCCCTCCTTCCTTCCTTCCTTCTTCCTTCCTTTTTCCTTCCTTCCTCCCTTCTTCCTCCCTCCTTCCTCCCTCCTTCCTTCTTCTTTCCTTCCTCCCTTTCTTTCTCCCTTCCTCCTTCCTTCCCTCCTTCCTTCCTTCTTCTTTCCTTCCTTCTTCTTTCCTTCTTTCTCTCTTCCTCCTCCTTCCTTCCTCCCTCCTTCCTTCCTTCCCTCCTCCTTCCCTCCCTCCTTCCGCCTTCCTTCCTCCTTCCCTCCCTCCTTCCGCCTTCCTTCCTTCCTTCCTTTTTCCTTCCCTCCCTTCCTCCCCCCCTTCCTTCCTTCCTTTCTTGTTTTTGAGACGGAGTCTCGCTCTGTCGCCAGGCTGGAGTGCAGTAGCGTGGTCTCGGCTCACCGCAACCTCCGCCTCCTGGATTCCAGCGATACTCCCGCCTCAGCCTCCCGAGTACCCGGGATTACAGGCACGCGCCACTATGCCCGGCGAATGTTCGTATTTTTAGTAGGGATGGGGTTTCACCATCTTGGCCAGATGGTCTCAATCTCTTGACCTTGTGATCCACCCGCCTCGGCCTCCCAAAGTGCTGGGATGACAGGTGTGAGCCACCGCGCCCAGCCGGGTACAAATGTTTCTAAGTGTGGTCCTAGGCCCAGGGCCAGGGGAGCCAGGCTGACAGTGTGGGCAAGGGGAGGCCATGCTTGCTTAGAAGATGGATTTCTGGCCCCCTTCCCCCCAAAGCCAAATCCTGGAACGAGAGCAGAAGGGAGGAGGGGAGGCAAGGACAGACGGGACTCCCTTAATTCCTGGGCTCGTTCTGTCTGCTGTGGAAAAGGTCAGGGGGAGGGGGAGAGGCTTCCCTGGCCCAGGGCCTCGGCCTCCTCCTGTGGCTCTACAAGAGGCTGGGCCTGGATCAGTCCCAACAGCCCCAACGGGGCGACAGTGTTTGCTGAAACCACCCAAGTTCAGGGGTTTAGTAAGTTTCCAACCTTGATTCTAAACATAAATGTGGATGCACGAAAGAGCTGACATATTAGGGTAGAGAGTTCGTACATGACTTTTGAAATGTTTCCTTTAATTAATTATTACACAGTTAAAATGAAAACCGCCTCGAATCTGGAAAAGTGGCATTTTGACCCACTTGAATAATGCACTTGCCACCACCTGGTGGCAGCGTACCCACATGTTTTTAGTGTCTGTAGGTTTTGAAGGGTTTTACTTTCATACTTCCTCACTTTGGGGGCTTACCTGTGAGCATGTGGGGAGCTGACTGGTGGTAGTGCATCCCCTGGGGCTGTGGCCTCTGAAGCGAGACTGTGCTTCTGGGAATTTCGTGTGGACTGTCGGCTCACTGGATGCACCTGTGGGGAAGGTGGGCAGCCTGAGCTGGACGTGGGGCTAGGGCTGGGTAAGGAGGGCAGGGAAAGGCTGGGTGTCCAGGCTAGGGGGTGTGCTCTGGTGAGGGGTGGGTGTCGGGCTGGGGGTGAGTTCTGGTGGGGGGGGGGGTGTGGGGGGGGGGGGGAGCTCTGGCGAGGGGTGGGTGTCGGGCTGGAGGGGAGCTCTAGCGAGGGGTGGGTGTCGGGCTGGGGAGGGGAGCTCTGGTGAGGGGTGGGTGTCGGGCTGGGGAGGGGAGCTCTGGTGAGGGCTGGGTGCCTGGGCTGGGGTGGGGAACTGGTGAGGGGTGGGTGTCAGGCTGGGGGGGATGGGGCTGCTGGTGCTCTCACCTCCTCGACAGGGGCAGGCACCAGCCCCTCTACCTCCCAGGGAGCCTCCTGCAGCACATCCACGGGGGCCTCCCAGCCGCTGTGGAACTTGGGCACATAGAGAGGCACCTGTGGCTCCTGTGGCCACTCGGAGCTGCGGTGAGAGGTCCCGAGATCAGCCCCGCCCCTCCAGAACTGGCCCACCCAGGACCCCCTCGCTGGCCCCCAGGGCAGCCCCGGCTTGGCTCCGCGTGGCCGTACCGGGGCCGTGTCCAGGTCTCTCCCAGTGACTCCCACAGCGACATCTCCTTGGGGACCAAGTGGCCACGCAGGAAGCCCACAGCATCTCGGGAGAGCAGTGGGCAGGAGACAGAGCGTGCAATGTTGGGGCCACCACAGGTGTTGACGATCTGGGGCAGCAAAAGGGTCAGAATCAGAGGGGACAGCAGCCCACAGACCCCCGGAGACCACAGACCCCCACAGCCCACAGACCCCCGGAGAACACAGACCCCCACAGCCCACAGACCCCCGAAGACCACAGACCCCCGGAGAACACAGACCCCAGGAGACCACAGGCCCCCACAGCCCACAGACCCCCGAAGACCACAGACCCCCACAGTCCACAGACCCCCGAAAACCACAGACCCCCGTAGACCACAGATCCCCACAGCCCACAGACCCCCGCAGCCCACAGACCCCCACAGGGGCACCTGCTACCCCGACCCTGAGCCCGGGAGACACTCCAGAGGCCTCTGTCCCCACAACACTCCGCCTGCACCCCCCACCTCCCGAGAACCCACCCCACCCCCATCGCCCCAGCCCCAGGCACCAGGTCCAGAGGCCCGAACAGGAAGTGCACAAGCTCCGCTGCGCTGGGGTTCTGAATGTGCTTCTGCAGCTTGGCCTGTGGGCAGCGAGGCGTGAGCGGGGCGGGTCAGACCGCCATCCACCCTCAGCACAGACGGCGGGCAGGGCTGCCACCACCGGACTCACCAGCAGGTTGATTGCCAGCTTGGTTTTTTGGAAGCAGTCCACAAACTCGACCTCAGAGGGGGGCCGTGCCCGCAGCGTGAGGACACCCTCTGGCAGGGGGAGGCTCCGTGTGAGCCGGGCCGCCCTGGTCTGCCCAGCCCCTATGCGTTCGGTCCCATGAAGCCCACCGTGCAGGCCAGAGCTTCCCCCAGCTCCCTCAGTGTCCCCCCGTGACGACCCCATCCCTGTCCCCGTCCCCGTCCCCGTCCCTGTCCCCGCACCTGCTGGCCCCTTCTTGCCCTTCTTCTTCCCCTTCTTCCGCTGGTTCAGCTGCTTGAAAGCCTCTGCCGCCTTCTGCAGCCGGGCCACAAACCACTCAATGTCATCCAGGGCGCAGTTGAGGATTTGCTGGGGTCAGAGGGGTCAGGGGTCAGCCTCTGACACTCCCACCAACCCGTCCTGAGGCAGGGACAGCCCCACAGGTGACGGGACGAGCTGGGGCCACACCTGTGGAGGGGCAGCCACCGGCTGAGGACTGGCCAGAGGGGGAGCAAGGACCAGTGTCCACCACCGGGGATGGGGCAGGGAGGGAAGGGCAGGGACCGCCTGCCAGGCCTGGGCACCCACCGTCTCCTTCTCTATCTTCTGAGCCAGCACGGCCCTCGGCTCTTCCTCCTGGGACTCCTGATGGTGGAAGCCTGCCAGGGGACACGGGGCTGCTGACCGAGCCCCCACAGCCAGCCCCCTGGAGCCCCCGCCAGCGTCCCCACCTACCTGGCTCCCTGAGCGGCACCTGTGGGCCTACGCGGTTCTTGGCCTGTGGGGAGTCCCCGTCACGGTGCTGGAAGGGGATGGGCGCCGGGCCCTGCGGAGGGGGCAGGATGGACTGCCGCTGCCGGATCTTCTCCTGGTGTCCCCTGGGGGGCGAGGGGGCCCTGCTCAGCCCCGCCGGGGCCACGCCTGGCCCTCCCTCCCTGCTCGGCCCCTTCCCCACCTGCCCCCTCGGCCCCGCTCTGCCCACAGCCTACTTCAGGGTCTGCGGCCGCATCTTCTTGCCCAGCCGGCAGTCGGCCAGTGCGCTCTCGATGTCCTCGTGCACCAGCTCTGCCTGGGAAAGCGGGGGGCGGGGTGAGGGCGGGCACGGCGCTGTGGAGACCCCCCCGCCCCCCGCAGCGCCGCCTCACCTCCACCTCGTCGCAGTGGAAGAAGTGGATGTCGGGCTTGCTCTGCTCGGAGTCCTGGCACACCAGCAGCAGCACAGACGGGTAGCGCAGCTGGTTCAGCACCGTCTGGCTGCGCTGCACAGTGGGCAGCGGGAAGTTCTCCAGCTCCTCCTGCGGGACACGCCACACGCCTGGTACTCACCCGGGGCCTGGGCACCAGCAGTACGTGCCTGGAGTTGTGGACGTGTCTGGAGCACAGGCCCTCGGACACAGCCAAAGGGAGGGCGAGACCCCAGACGCGCCCATGCCCCGAGGGTGTGCGGCCCGGCAGACCAGGCTTCCGAGCTCCCCTGTGCTCTCGGCTCCGTGCGGCCCTCCCTGCCCACCCTGGTCCCAGCCTCTTCCAGGGACCAGATGATGGGAAATGGCTGCCCCCGCAGAGAGGCCCAGACACGCCTCTGGGCGGCAGCGGGTGGCAGCCACTGCCTCTACCCACTGTGCCTATACCCACCAAGCCTCCGCCCCCCGCCACCTCTGCCCCCCGTGCTCCCTGCCCTCAGGGCTGACCCCACCTGAGACTCGATGTCCAGCAGCCGCAGGGACTCGCCGTCCACCCGCAGCAGCATCTCCTGGGTCCAGATCTTCTCCTTGGAGCTCAGCTGCACCAGCTTCCGGATGGCATCGTCCACAGATGTGATGGCTTCGCTCTTGTCCATGATGAACGTGGCCAGGTGCTGGGGGCGGGCGGGTGGTCACTTCGGGGCAGAGCCCTCCTTGTGCTGAGAGCCCAGCCCCCAGGGGCCACGGCCAACCCTGGGTTGGACAGTAGGAGGGGGACCCAGCCCCGCTTTTGGTGGGGGGAGTCTATGCAGCCATGAAATCTGTGGAGACCACACTTGTGTCCAGACAATACCCTCAGAAGAATTCCTACTGCTGCCCGGCCCCTCGCAGCTGACCTCACCGGCCACCTCCCCTCGCAGGCTCGGCCCCCACCCCCTGCACCTGCTTCCCCGCCTCCACAGCACTCTCCCTCCTCAGGCATCCCCTCCCTGGCCACCCGGCTGCAATGCCGGCCGTCACCCCATCCCCGACCCTGAAATGAACCCAGCGTCGCGCTGCACATGGCCTGCTGTGAGGCCGCCGGCTCGCCACTCCAGGGCAGGGTTCCGGCGGCCACTTGCTGAGCTGTGTACAGGTCCAGGGCAGAGCCTGGTGCACAGTGGAGGGCCCTCAACAAGAGCGCGCTGGATGCGTCCGTCCGTGCCTGAGGGTCTGCAGCCAGCCCAGCCCCCCCCGCGCCCTCCACCTCTCCTCTTTCCCGGCCTGACTCAGGCCCCTCCTGCAGCCAAGCTCCCGGTTCGCAGAGTAAAACCCTCCCACGAAGGATTGACCATTCGGTGCACGATGCTGGCACAGCTGGATAAACACTGACGTGAACTGCAGGACGGAGACAACCGCAAAACGCAAAACAAAAGCTCACGCCTGTCGTCCTAGCCTTTGGGAGGCCCAGGCGGGCGGATCACCTGAGGTCAGGAGTTCGATCCCAGCCTGGCCAATATGGTGAAACCCCGTCTCTACTAAAAATGCAAAAATTAACCAGTCATGGTGGCAGGTGCCTGTAATCCCAGCTACTCGGGAGGCTGAGGCAAGAGAATTGCTTGAACAGTTCAGAGGTTTTGTTGAGCCGAGATCGCACCACTGCACTCCAGCCTGGGTGACAGAGCGGGAGGCTCTTTCAAAAAAAAAAGCTTGTGGAGAACATACCAGACGATGGGCCGGGCGTGGTGGCTCACGCCTGTAATCCCAGCAGTTTGGGAG